TTTTTCGCATTCAACAGGACTGGGCATGTATTTGAAATATTTTTATTTGAAAAACAGTATTGGTAAGATAATTTATTTTGTATTTTGTGTTTATTCGAAATACATGAAAATATTTTGTATTATATATTTCAATAGGAACATATAAAAGTATTTTGTATTTTATACTTCAGTATTAATAACAAAAGGTTATGAAAATATTTTGTATTTTGTATTTCAAATACTAATATTGATAATTGACTTTATTATTTGAATTACAAGATAAAAAAGCTTTCAATCTTTCGATTTTAAATACAAAATACATAATACTTTTATAGGTTCCGCTAAAACAAAAAATACAAAATACGCTTGCAAATAGTGTGTTTTAAATAAAAGTATTTCAAATAGATGCCCAGCCTTGGCATTCACTTTCATGAATGTGCACGTTTTCCTTATTATCGCGAATAGAGAACGTTTTTGCGTCTATTGCATTAAAATTTAAAACAGCTTTTTTACAGTGGTTCGTGATACAACGCGTGGGTGGAGGCACACCGATCTCCCGAGAAACGTGTTACATTTTTCAGCGTCTTTAGTCGGAAAGACATATATTCTCACCGCACCGTGGAAATTTCATCTTCAGCTTCGTAGGGCTTCTCTTCTCGGGCTTAAGAAACTATACGTCGAGGAACGGGGTGCTGCCAATGCTACTAGTTGCGTGGTGGAGTAAAGGAAAGACCGAGGCGCGCCGAGCTTAATCCCGTCGTCCTGGAAAAGTTCTGCGTTCGCGGAGATTTTCCCGCAAGCCATCTCGTCCGGAGCGCGTTTTTTTTATTCGTCCGATGATTCACATTGACTTCGCCGCAATTCGCGACCCTAATAATCCCCGCGACTTGTTTCCACGGGCGCGAATGGAAAATCGCCATCGAATGCGGTCGTTTAATCTTCTAAAATCGATGCGAACACGAACACGTTTGAATGCATCGTACATGAATGAATTAGCATTCATCATGGGAACGAAAACTTCGGAATATAAAATTAGAAGATTAAGATATTTCGCTTGTTTACACTAAAAAAAAATTTACTATAGCTTAATAAATATCTTTGTGAATATTTGTAAGTAAATATTTATTTATAGTAAATAAACATTTAATCAATGAAAAAATGATAGTTAAATCAAATTAATGATTCTTGTATCAAATAAATATATTCAGTAAATGTTTTTACTTACAAATATTTAAAAAAATATTTATTAATAATACATTTTTTTCAATGTACAATTCACTGCAGAAATATAAATGTCAGCAAAATTTTTACAAACTAGTTTACAAACAATACAACTAGTTTACAAACTAGTTTTGAATAATTTTTACATAATATTTGTGTTACTTCCTAACATTCAACTTGTGTTAAACTGACACAAAAATTTGAGTGAACCGTTTGGGACGTGAAATGTATTAAATTTAATATAAATTTTTAAAAGTGGCAACTAAAAAATGCTGAATTCTAATACATAAAACCGATTCAAAGGTATATAAAAAATAAAAATTGGACGTTCAACACTTTTGTTTTCTAAATTCGATAAAACTTTATACTATATACTTAAAAATTTTTTCTTATATTTCAAGAACCGAATCTGATGAAAATATTTCAATTTTCGACAATTTTGGGTTCATCGTCAAAAATTATCCTAAAAACAGTCTTCATATACTTTTACAGAAAACTTTGTAAACTAGTGTATTATAAACATTAGCGATTTAATTTTGTGAAGGGCGCCGCCGAGTTCTATTAAATTAGTTACTCTTACGTTGTTTTTTTTTCTCGGTATCTTCGTACCTATTTGAGAAGAGTGCCGGTAAATCTGAAACACGCGGCATGTTCGCGAATAATCGAAGCAATATATCTTAAAACTTCTTTTTTCTTTCGTTTCACATTTATAATATAACAACGGTAACAAAGTTCAGCCTGCAGTTTGCTCGAATACCCTCGAGGTGAAATCAAAGATATATCATGTACTGCAGCACGTCGCTCATAAAATCAGAACCGTTTCGTAAATGCAGTTGCCGGGACGGTGCATTTTGAGGTCGAAAAAAGCATAAGTGCTCAACTTGCAATCTGCGCTGTAATGTAACCAGATTATTCCGCTGTCGCATAAATACACGAGGAAATGCAATTGTTCATGCACGCTGCACTCGCGCAGACTTTGTGAAATTGGCAGCCTTCCACGTTCATACTCAAATAAAATATATACTACATAACATTAAAGAAACATATTTGTTAAAGCTATTAAGAAAATTACGTTAATAATTTCTTGTCTTCAATCTGCTTAATTTTTCATTAACAAAATTTTGAATTACGTAGTAATGCACTTCAAGTAAAATTAAATTTCCGAGACGCTGGGAGTAGAAACGAGATCTTATTTCGGAGCTAAATTCAAGGGTACTTTGACATTTTCAACTAAAAGTTATCTAGGAGTATGTTGTAGTAACGTTAAATAAAAAAAAAAAATTAGCAAAAAAAGTAGCGAGTAATCAGATTTTCGCTGAAAAAAACTCGTCTCCAAATTTATCAAAGATTTCGTACATAAAAGAGAACACGGTGCAACTAGGAGGGAACCCTGCATAATGGAAAAAGCAGAGTACGTAATGTTCAGTTCAAAATGTGCGCTTTAAAACGAAAATCCTCATCTGATCACGATATGAGATAGTGAATCTTAAAAATCGATTTCTTATGGTTATGGTAATAAGTCACCTAATCGATTTCAATGACATAGCGAGTGTATCTAACATGCGAACCATTCCATAAAACTTTATATATTTCCTTCTACATTAGTTGCAAGTCGTAAGACAGTCAATCTGAAGCAACAATTTTAAAATTAATGATTCTTCAGATTGACTGTTGCAACAAGTTTGCGATCGACTTGCCACTAATGTAAAAACCAAGATAACATAATGATGCGATAATATAAAATAATCTTAAAAAATTTAAAAAAGATCAATAAAATTTAGAAAATATCAATTAATTTATTAATGTGCGATCTTTATTAACAAAGATAGTAATAGTATTGTATGTTTCAACAGTCTTCTTTAACTTTAAAATATTCATAAAAATTTACGTAAAAATAAAAATTAAAATAAATTATAAATTAAAACGGAACGTGATGATCATTGTTGATCTATTTAATCTTTATTAGATATTAATTTATATTAATGCTTAATCTTAAAAGATATATATACTTATGTACATATAATACAACCTTTTACCCGACAATCCTTTCTAAAGCAATTAATAAATAAATTGCAAAAATGCTAAGATAAAATGTAAGCTAAGTATAATAATAAATTAATGAATGATGTTTTATCGACAATAACAAAAAGATACTTAGTATTCGATAATATTATAATAATAAAAGATAATACACCCTTTCATTTTATTGAAGTTGAATTCTTGCATTTTCCTTAAGCATTCTTTTGACATCCGCATTACACAGAGATCAAAGTCTGAATTAACAGAGAAAAATGAAGTTCTGTGTTCGCAAAAATATTGCTTGTGATAACGATATTACTGGCACTTTGCGAAGCAAGCTTAATTTCGTTGCAACACTCGAGCTAATCGATGGCGAAATTCTGTGGCGCTTGTAAATTCCGAAATGAGATCAACAACTTCCTCCCCAACGTCAACAGGCTGAAGAGATATTCGTAGGGTTTGCACGATCGAAGGAAATACGAGAGGAAAGGGACGACTGAGGAGTAACCGAAATTTTTGGCGTTTTATGCGAACGCCCGAGTATACGGCACTGTTTTTCGTGTGGCAGCTGGCTCGCATAGCGGAACAACACTAAACTCAAGACCCAGGACCGACATGGTGCAGTCTTATCGGCGCGCCGGCCTTATTTTTAATAAAAACTACGAAGGGAAAGAGGATGGTGCGAGATTAAAAAATTCACCAGCGCTCGGAGGCACTCGATGGCCTCGTAACTTAAAATTAAGAAAATTAGGAAGCCGCATGACCGACTAAGCTCGCGAAACGCTTACATGCTGTTCTCAGGAATTTAATAATAATCACTTAATGAATGATGCACCTGCATCGATACACCGCGAAACTTTATTCAATTTTATTTATTCAATTATTTTTATAAGCTGAATTTTGATGGTAATTAATTGATCTCACGTTATTATAACAAAGAAATATGATCTTAATATGATAAATTATATAACTATTGTATGTAAAGAATGTTGCATTATAAAACTAATTTTAATTATGTGATATAGTTTACACGACGTTCTCAAGACATTCTATTATTAACGTCACATAAACCTTAGCATTTGTTTAGCATTATAGTAAAGTTGCGAGAATTTTGCGTAAAATGAACAAACTTGGAACGGGTCGGTTAAGTTTTCCATTTTGTCTATCATACCGTACGACAGTCGGAAATATAAAAAAGAATAAAGAATAAAGAATGCGGAAATTATACTCGACATATAAAAGCGAAAAAATATTGTAGGCGCAGTAAATGTTTCTCGACACATAATAAATGATCATTATATTACATAATAAAAATAGTAATTAACAATTCCCATACGCTTACGTTTATCATTATTCTGAATTAAATAGATCAGTTTAACGAGTATCTGACATTTGCAAAGCTTCTATTAATCCTTCTTTAATCCTCCAAATCTAACGCTAATAGATCTATAAGACTCATTTAATTTTTATTAATTAATT